CGCGAAAAGCCGACCATTTGGCTAAGGTAGAGATGTTCCTCAGGGCCGAGGAGGAGCCCGCAGCATACTTAGGAGAATCATGGAGCGCTTCCAGCAGCACGACCCCCATATCCACTATGGAGAGAGCCCAAGGCGGCTTTCATCGATGGCCGTTTGTCAATCAGGCAGCCCCGACACTTAGGCGCAAGTGCAGAACCATAGGATGACTGGCGAGGAAGCCTCTACCTCGGCCTGTTAGAAGTCGCAGAGAAGGGTCTTATCACACAATCGCAGCGAGCGCCTCCGACCAGAGACGCGTCAGACGAGGATCAGAAGTTGGCACAGAAAGACGATTAGCTGGGGAAAGCAACAGAAAGGCAAGACAGAGAGATGCTAAAACTGCTAGCTCCACAAAGAGGGGGACAGTAATAGGGTATGTGACGACAGGAGAAGAGCCGTCCCCGGCGCCGGCGGGAGAGCGGTGAGGCAACGATCAATGGCAATTGCACAAGAGCATGGGCAGTTGGGCCCGAGAGAGTGCCCCAAAGAAAGGGGCCAACAATGGAAGCTTAAGATGGTCCTGAGAAAAAAGTCATGGTCTGCAGCCAGGTGACAGACAAATAGGGAAGATGGGTTGGTCCCCTCCCAGAACTTAGGGTAACTTTGCAAGTGGAGGGGAACCCAGTCAGTTCTCTCCCAGATACAAGAGCAGAAGCATCTTGGTACTAACGTGAAGACACAACGAGAAGATTGTCCAGTAAGACCAGTTGGGTGCAGGCAACAGGGGCAAAACTATATCGTGGACCAGCGATGCAGAGATTGGTTTAGGTTCAGGAAAAACTCGCCTACCCTGTTCAACAAGGCCCTCCATGATGACCCTGGGTTTGCAGAAAAGGCTCCACCTCTGTATAAAGGGTTTAGGGCGGGGCGGAGCATGAGAGTAGACTGTGCAAATGGAAGACGGCTTTTCAGGCCTGTGAGGCAGCATGCTGGAAGCCCCGGCCCTAGCACTCCCTGATCCTACTTGTCAAAAAAAAAAACTAGATCCGGTGGCGGCGGGTGGCCAGCATGCTTGCGAATCATCGCAGCCACGGCCCTGTTGGTCAAAGACGCTATAAGCTCACTAGAGGCAGCGGCTGCAGATGCACACCCCACACCATAGAGGGGGTTCTGAAGCAGCCACCGGACGTGAATCACAAATGCGAGGCTGACTCTCACCAAGGACTTTTGCTGGACGCACCCGCATCAAGTTCCAGACCCCGCCGCCCGAAATCAAGCTACGCTTCTGCCAACCCCGCTGCAGCCACACCTGAAAGTGATTGCTTGAGATCCTAGGCCGAGACCCCAGCTACGACCCGTAGAGACTTGAAGGATCGCCCCCTTCCAGTAGCGACCTGCATGGTTCACGGATGGAAGCCAGTTCATCCGGGACGGACGCAGGTACACAGGGCGGCCATAGTAGATGACCAAGGTAAACCTGTCTGGGCGGCACGCCTTCCGCAACGGGACATCTGGTCTGAAGCAGAACTACATAGCGCTGACGGAGGCTCTTAGCCGGCCCGACGGAAAAGTGTCGGTGTACACTGACAGCCGCTTTGCCTTTGGGACTGTGCACGCAATCACATAGGCCGCAGACCTTGAGGACGAGCAAGAGTGCTCATCTGCTACCTAGAGAAAGGGGGGAATGTAGGGCAGAGGAATTTGTAAGACAGAGGAAGGGCAGAAGAATTTTTCCAATTGTCGGGAATTTACTTGGGTGGGGCAATGAGCTAACCGCAAACCTTTGCTTCTGGTCATTGCTTGCTTGCTGCACCGCTATAAGGGGAATTATGGGATGAGGTCATTAAAGCACGGGCAACTGGCCCATCAGGCAATAGAGGGCAACCAACCCGCCAATTATTTTAAAAGGCAATAATGGGCAACCAATCATTTTAAAGGTCAACACATAATCCACGCGTAGTCAGCTTGTGCGCAGCTTGTGCACCATGGGGATAAAAGGCATGCCGTTGTTCCGGTCGGGGTCCTTGCCTGCGAGAGTGGCCACTGCGTTGGTGCTCTGGGGCTTAGACCCTGGCTAGCCAAAAAATAAACCTCCTCTTGCGTGATTGCATCCTCGATGTCTCTGCTTTTCTGTCCGGTGGGGCTGTGGAAGGTCAGTCCCTAACAGTAGTAGAATTTCCAGGGAGCCAAGAGTAGTTTTAAAAAAAGAATATTCTAAATGTCTGTTGTTATTTCTTTAACTACAAAAAGTGTATGCAACAAACTCTTCTTTGCTGGTGCATTTTGGGGTGGGGGAGAGGGGAGGAATTCATTTCTCAAAGGAGCAGGAGCTACAAAAGGTTGAGAAACACTGCCCAATCAGATCAACAGATCAGCAAGGAGAGCTGGTGCCTGGAGGAGCCCATGGCGCAAAGCACTCACCTTGGAAATGCAAGCACGCTGCTGGGCTGCTTCCCAAAGCCTTCTTGGTAGGACAACACAGAGTCCACAGTGCCAGGCCTCTGGGGGACAGCGACAGAGACAGAGCAGAGTTACACCTGGGCTGTGGTCCAGGACACAGACAAATCAGAAACTACAGCTATCTCAAAGGCAAAGCTACCATGATACTTTTTATTGTTGTTTTTGTTTAGTGCTTAAAGTCCAGAACTTAAAATCCTATGAAGAATGATCTTATTTCATCAAACTAGTCACCGTGGGGTGGGTAGTGGCACAGCAATACCATTGTTGCTGCCTTTTCTTGAATCATTTTGAAAATTGAATCATCTTTAGAAATTGCCTTCAGAGTTGACAACTTATTGTAGATATCTTTAAGAGGTGAGCAGACTTCCTAAAACTGTCTGGAAAATGATTTCATCACTCTTGGCCCAAATGACTCTAAACTTAGGCAGCTAAGAAAAGGGATTTGGAGTCAGGTGGGCTTACATTCAAATCCCAACACTGTTAACAGCTATGTGGCCCTAGACACTAGGCTTGTGGGGATAATAATGGGATCCGATCACAGGACTTCTATGAGGCACTCTATGTAAGTGGCCAGCACACAGTAAGCACTGAACAAATAGCTGTTGTAATTATTATATCAATTACACATCATTACATTATTAGTATAAAATAATATGTAAGATGTTATTTTTGGATGAATGCTATAGCTTACAAAAGGCTTTGAAGGGAATTCTCAAAAAGAAATTTTAAAACATTTCTAACCAAAGCAGCATCACTGAAATAAGCACACAGCTTCCAAGATTTTACAGGACAGTACTCAGGCTTAAGTTATGGGACATTTGAAAATAAAACGATCACTTCCACCACTTTACAACAGTCTCCCAAAATATGATTTCTAGAGCTATTAATAAGTATGGGATTAACTTAGAGTTCCATGATCAAATACACTTGGGCAGTTAAACTGGCTGCTTTACAGCCAGACTTCCCAGGTCCTTTAACATGCTGCTGTGCTTTGTGCCTCTGTCCATGAGGGAGATGGAGACAATCAGCAGTTCTCAGTCTGCTTTGGCCTTCAAAGCCTTTCTTCATAGAGTATCTCTCAGGACTAGTTCTCTTGGAAAATATTCCTTAAAAGTTACGCTTTAGAGTTCAACAGGTCAAGGAAAATGCCATCTTCTTTTTTAAACACACATTGAAGCTACAAAGTTCAGCAGCGTCCCTGAGCGTTAGAGATGAGCTGGCCACTTCGGCCTTGCTTGTGGATTTGCAAATCTTGCCTGTGTTTTCATGGGATAAAAAGAGTTTTTCCTGTGTGTGTGTGTTTCCATTTTTCATACACAGAGCTGGCATCCCTCTTACCAATCCTGAATGAAACCAGATTGTGTAGAAAACACCAAGAGCCTCATTGTGCACAACTCCACCTCCTAGATCCCCATCCCAGAGCTTCATGAAAGGAGATACGGGCAAAATTAGACGACATTCATAGCCTTTTCATTTAGAAGTCAGGCTTTTGCTCTATTGGATATAGGATTATATAACACTCCACAGTAATTGGATTCATTCAGGCTAACTTTGTTAGTTCCCGGAGTTGTACCTAAGGCACATTAAGTATTCAATAAATCCTGTTGATTGACTATTTCACTGCCTCCGTAAACTCTGCTATGACCAACTTAGCACAAAGGTCACACCAGCTACTTAATGGTTAAAAATGGTGTAAGTCCATCCCAGCTACTTAAAAGTTAACAAAATAATGGTGCCGATTATAACATTTCTTCTACAGCAGGGCAAATGAAAAGCCAAAGATCTAATTCCATGACTTGAATTAGATTTTGTTGTATACTTTCATTAAAATAAAATAGTAGAGCCAGCAAAAACTGAGTTATTAGGAATTCTTGGCTCAAATCTCAATTCTACCATTTGTTAACACCCTGACCTAAGGCTTCCTACATAACCTCTCCAAGCTCCAACTTTTCTCACTTATAAAATTGAGATATTATAATAATAATGCTGATTTTGTAATTTTTGAGATTCAAATGAAATAACATGTGCAGAAGAACTTTTAAAACTATAAAGTACTATAAAAATGTTCAGAATTATAAGAGTTTCTATTAATATTACCATTTATATTTTTCAGTTGGCATTGACTCAAAACTTAAAGTTCCTTTGCCCCTCTGATCTTTTCTGTCAAAGAGTTAATGATCTATAAAGAAGCACTTCTTTGCCTTTGGGGCAACTGGCACTTAAAATATGTCAACCTTAGTTTTTCTTAATGACAACACACCTATAGATGATTCAGAGCTACGATTAGGAGAGGGCTTTCTTAGGAAAACATTAATTTACATTTGCTAGGGCTTTTGCCAAAGCCCCACTTCCATCCACGGCACAAAGGAAGTCCTTATAAAATCTCATCTTCACTTTGCCATCTTTGACCACGAGGACCCCAATTCCTTTGAACGTAAACTCCACAGTCTGTTTGGTGGAAATGGATCGTGAGAAAAAAAGCAACGTCTCCTTCACACATCCTTCTACTACATCCCTGTTAAATGGGCCTTCCAGGGATATCATGACAAAATTAAGTGGAACAACTGGGATATCACCTAGAGGAGAAAAAGACAGTTGGTCTATTTTCCAGTTAGGTTAAAAAAAAGAAAAAAAAAAAAAAAGACAGTTGGGGTGGGAGAAAGGAAGTGTTGATTACAATAAGTACATATCATACACATAAATAATTATCTCATTCTCATTTAATACCCCAAAAGAGAACTGTCCATGTAAAGCCTTTGGTTGCACCCAATGTAATACTATTACTGCAGATAATTTCACAACTGGTTATTAACACATATTAATCAATACAATTTTCTCTAAAAATATAATGTTTTATGCTCGAAATAAAAACAATGAGCTTTCTAAACAACAATGTAGACAAGCTTTTTGGTTTTCTCAAGGAGACATAGTAATAATCAACTGCTTCTCTTCATCAGAAGGTTTTCTAAAGTTTTCAGCCCCCTTACTTTTCAGAATACACTGCAGCAATATTTGCTCATTTCCACCAGTTATCATACCAATTTTAAATGATTATAAATACCTACAAATGTTAAATGCTTTGAAAAGATAGTCATCTTTACTAGGAGTTATTTGAATGAAATTGGGTCTTATACCAGGGTATCAGACTGAATGACTTGCAGGAAGCTTTCCTCTCTAATAAGCCCATACATGACATTGCAAAGGAATAAGATCACATCCAGCTTGAAGGAAACCCAGGATCTATTCAAGTAAAATAGATGTAGGAGTTTTGCAAGGTCCACAAGTCAGAAAGGGGGTGAATAAGAAAGGATAGAGATGATACAGCCAAAGAGAGACAACAACAAGGCCCACTGATACAGGAACAGAACAGAGAGCAGAACATTCTAATCACTCAGCAAGCATGAATTATTATATAACCTTTCAAATGTCTGATACTGCTGAATGATGAAAATTAAAAGCTCTACAAAATTTGAGTTTCATTGTATCAGTCCACCATCTCCCGTACAATTTAATAGTAATTCTCTACCACAACTCTTCATTTCTTTTTTTTTTTAACATAAATTTCTTAAAAGAGAAAGCCATATTGCCTGACTCTAGATTCTTCCCTCCCATTTACCTATAGTCTCTCTGTAATCCACCATGCCTAGCTATTTTTTTTTTTTTCTTTTTAGAGACAGGTTCTCACTATGGTGCCCAGGCTGGTCTCAAACTTCTGGCCCCAAGCAATCTTCTCACCTCAGCTTCCCAAACATCTGGGATTACAGGCACAAGCCACCATGCCTGGCAAAAATAAGCTCTAATTCTAAGGCACGAGTGTTTTTGCAAAAATGTTGGCTTCATTTTCATTTCCTTTGGTATGTTTTTGATGAAATTTCTTTGATAGGTTTTTGATACATTTCTTCTTTCATAAGATTCTAGGTAAAAATGGCTAAAAGTTTATCAAACCCACCATACTGAATATATGTATAAAGAATTCTAAAAAATATTTTTTTCCAATACATAATTTTTGATGGAAAGTTACAAATGAAAATTAACTTTCAGGAAAGTTATCTTAAAGTTACAGCTTTTTCACCTGCTGTCATTGGGGTAGACTGTCTCTCTTTATCCAGGTCTGAGTGTGACACAGGAGGGGAAAATAAGGAAGGTCAAAAGGAACATAGCCAGGATCAGGAAGGACGTGCCCAAAGGCGTCTAAATAAGCAAGGCAGGTGTTATGAAGCCCACACTCTAAAGTTGATGGAAGCATCCTGAAGCAGGGATTATGTCTGTTTTATTTCCCACTATATCTCAAGCACCTGGAACAAGGCCTAACACATAGTTGATCCTAAGTAAATATTTGCAGAAGGAAGGAAAGAAAGTTGGCTTTAGGGTGTGAGAAAAGTATATAAGGTATATCTTAAGTCTTTATGGAATTACTGAACTTCTAACCTTTCGATTTTAATAATTTAGATTATATATGATAGAAAAACATTTAGTAATCTTTTTCACAGCTGCTACTGACCATAGTTCTTCCAACCAGGGACCCAAATTAATTTTCTCTTCTTTATAACCACTTTTAATTTCTTAGGATACGAAATATGGATAAAAGTCTGTACAAGTCTCTGGTGTAACTCTTATATAAATTTGCCTTTAATGTCACATCGGGTCTTCTTGTGCCTGCCACTTAAGTTACTGGGGTTTAAAACGGCCTGAGTAGGCTGGGCGCAGTGGCTCACACCTGTAATCCTAGTACTGTGGGAGGCTGAGGAGGGAAGTTCACGTGAGCTCAGGAGTTTGAGACCAGCCTGAGCAAGAGTGAGACCCCCATCTCTACAAAAAATAAAAAAAATTAGCCAGGCGTGGTGGTGCATGCCTATAGTCGCAGCTACTCGGGAGACTGAGGCAGGAGGATCGCTTGAGCCCAGGAGTTTGAGGTTGCTGTGAGCTAGGCTGACACCACAGCACACTAGCCGGGGCAACAGAGAAAGACTCTGTCTCAGAAAAAAAAAAAAATAAATAAATGGCTTGCAGGAAGATTCTGTATTTTCCCATCTTGGCCCCTCCCTCTGCCAAGGGTACCACGTGAAAAGTGAGCCCTTCCAATCAGAAATTAATAAAGCAGTGCTGGACAATCAATCTTTGCCCTTTCATTTCTATCCCCAGGCTAGTAACTTTGGGAAAATCTTCAATATTAAAATTATTTACCGGGAGTATATACTTTGTTTTGTTTGAGTCCATGGATCTGCATTAACTTCTCCGCCATGATAAATATGGGCCTCTGGATTAGAATAAACTTGCCATTTCCCACTTGCATCTGTTGTCTCGTGAAAGTGAAAGTTCCAAATCCTGGAATCTGAACCCCCTAGAAAGAAAAATAAGGGGAGAAAAAAAGTAACAAAAATAATTCATCAAGGGGGCAAAGAAAAAATAATCCTTAGCATTGTTATCTAAAAAGCATGAAGAGAATTAAGTTTAGGCCTTAAAAGTGCAATGATCTTTACAACCCCTTATAGCTATAACATTTTATAATTCTAAGTTTTCAAACAAGTTTAGTATAAAATGTAATAATATATTGACCCATGATGATTTATAGACATCAGATCCTTCATCTCCATATTATTAAAAGGCTAAGAAAATGTGTATGAATGCCATAGCTTCTTTTAATCTGTATCTAAAATTACTTTGTTCTAAATTGTGTTTAAAATTTTAATCATTTGCCATTAGTGGAACTTAAGAGGGCATGAGAAACTTTGCCTTCTTATTTCCTCTTTTCGATTTTATCTCTGCCACTTAAAATCAGACAACCCAGCATCCAAGGCATATGCTACAGGTAGTGATGTTGGCTGATGAGGAGAAGCAAATGTCCTTGGCTCTCAAATTGGGCTCTATCTCCCTGGAGATATCATACATCAAGGGCTACAAACTCAAACACCTACGGGGGCTAAGAAAAAACGCAAGGAACTGACGGGAGCCAACCAGAAAGCATAGTGGCTGGAGATTACATGGTCCATTTACATAGAAGGCAGAGCCTGTTGTGAGCTCCAGCTAAGCATTACCATATAGGAATAGAAGACTGGCATTGTTAGATCAGCTGACTTTTGAAGAGACAGCAGAAAAGAATCCACAACTTTATATAAACTCTCCAGATTTTAAGTGATGATAATTCAAATTCTCAAACCAAACAAAGGAAGTTTGAAGAATGAATTCCACCAAAAGGCTCTCATAGTGCTAAGTAGGATGTAAAAGTTTCACAATCTCACAGCTTCCCTAAAGCTCCTCCCAAAATCTCCATCCAATTTTATGGCATCTAAACCTAAGACTTGACAGGAGAAAGTACTTCAGCCCTGGACAAAGTTTCTCATTTTTGGCAGATTGAGTTTGGGTCCCGTCTTGGTAAATTTCAGTTTACATCCATTCCCTGCAAGGAGGCAAGACAAGCAGCAGGATATCCTTGTACAGCTATGCCAGGAACTGTCAGATCACAGACAGACAGAACTCATTGAGTTTCTTTACACAGAGCCAGGCCAATCAGTACTACACTCTGTATCACTGGAAGAATCGCTTCTCGGCCTTTTGGCTAAGATCAAGTGTATCACTGGAAGAGCAAAATTTACAACTTCATCACCTAAGAATAAAATGCACGTTTGTTAAATCTACTATCCACAAGTCCTAAGTGTGAGCATCATAAAAATCACAGGACTGAAGGTTAAACTGGGTGGCTCTAAAGTCTACTGCTCTGCTTCCAGAAAAATTATACCAGACATGGAGGAAAAACTCTTTGGACTCGTACATTAAAATTAAAGTCCTACCTTGTGCAGGGTTAGCTGCCGCTCCACAAATTCTGACACATTCCCCCAGATAGTAGCAACTTCTGAAATTCAAAGGAAACCAGAAATAATTTATGTGAGCACCCACGCCTAGTATCTTAGTGCTGATAAATAAAAATGTAAATATGAAATGGAGAACCAAATGACAATAATTCCTAATTAATTAATAATTATCAGAAAATAAGGTCATTCTCAAAAGTTAATTTTCCTGTTACCCCTTTAAGTTCCAAAGATGTGATTTTTTTCAAAATAATAATAACAAATTTGTGAAGCAAACCTTTCTACAATAAAGGGAACTATGTCACACATTTCCCTCTATTCTATAGAGCTAACCAAGGATAACCTAGCCTTTTCTTAATGACCCATTCAACAACCATTTATCAAGTGTCTACTCTGTGCCATGTGATTAATGTGAACATTCATTCCTATTCCATTCTATAACCCAGGCATAAGACCAAAGGCCACTAAGAGCATGAAAGGCTGATGTCTGCACACAAACTGTCTGTATACTTTTATTTTTGCTAAATTCTTGAATCTACTATTTATTCTCATTTTTTTACTGTTAAGCTATTAGCTTTTACTTCTCTCCGCTGCTAGTGCTCTGTAGGCTCCCTTTCCAGTCCTAATTCACTGATTCTTGTCTACTGTACTCTGGGAATAACAAATACACTAATATTATGTCTAAAATAATAATTTTTAAAAACACATCTTTGAGTAGGGGCCCAAGAAGCTTTACTTTGAATCAATGCTTAAACTTTGCACTATCAACTTTGACTAATTGGAGGGAAGCCTTCTATGTTTATTTGCTTGCTCTGAACTATGTTCCAAAAAGCTGTGGTAGAAAAACAGGTAGTTGCCAATAACCAAAGTGCTAATGTGCAATAAGAACATATGCTCTAGGTATGACTAATATTTAGAAATATAGAAAATTCTATCTATGTTGACATTGCCATTTCAAACCTAATCATTTGTTTATCAAAGATGCTTTACAGTTAGGAAATCTTTTCAAGTCAAAAGTGTTAAGTTTAATTCTCAAAATAAAACATCAAGAACAGTGACATCTACCAGGTTGGCATAGATAGATGCAGTAGGTGGAAAAAAGGCCAATTCTTTCTCCATTTTAGAAACTGCTTGAATTATTGGTATAACTTTTCCCCCACTGGTTTAAACTACTAACTAAAGCAGAGAGATTGCAATCTTTTAATTCTTGCATATTATAAATATTTGTATTAATATACCAGGGAGGAGGCAGGTTTGGTAGATGAGAAGTAGCAGTGACTCTCATGAACATCTGGAAACAAGTTTGGTGATGGAAACTCACTTGCCTGTCAATAAAATTAGGTCTGCATGCCACAGGGAGCACAAGGACCAAGATTCTGCCCCTCACTCTAAATCACTTTCTGTAATCAGGCATTTTCCACCCTCTGCCCATCCTGCTCCATTCCCTACTCCTCCCCACCCTCCCAGCCAAAAGAATTCTACTCCTGGCTGCTCAGAACTAAGAATATCTTTCAACTAGTCCCAACTGCATACCAAATTAAAATTTTCATCATGGCAAAAAAATGTCATTAATTCATTAATAATATAAAATCTCAGTATCCAGATTTATAATACATGGAGACCTTTCAAAGTTAATCAGATCAGAGCTGTTAAATTTATGACTCTAAAAGTCTTTCATGTAGACTCATGAAATACAGCTCAGATTTCAGGAAAACAATCTACACCAAAGAGGAAATGATTTAGTTAGGTCCAGGAGAAATTATATAGTTTGCAACCAAACCCTTGTGAAAAGATTTGACTTAATGAAAAACTTGAGGGTAGTCTTTCTTCATTTAGATGATATATTCAAGTTCACCATATCGTTTTACTCCATAAAATCTAATTGGCAAAATCTAAAGAGCAGAGTTAATTGTTCTAAACTGAAATTTCCTATTTCTAAGTGTGTGTGGGGGGGAAGGAAAATATACATAGCATCCCCCTTAGGAAGCTTTAGGACCCTGTAATTCAATTGTAACAGATTTGGAAATCTTCTAAATTTGATTTTTTTCTAATATACCAAAGTGTCAAGAGAGGGTGTCACTAAATCTCAAAATGAAAAGGATTTCAATCTAAGAAACAACTTTAGACAATTTTCAGTCTAAGAAACAAACTGAAGAATATGCTACTTTTACATTTTAAGGGAATCTGGGGTTGTTATTTATTTTAATCAAACACTGAAACACCAAGAGTCACTATTATAAAGAACTAATCCCTAGACATACTTTCTACATTCAGTTCAACCTTCATTTGATTTCAAATGCTAAACATTTTCTGCACTCAAAACCATATTATTAAACACAATGCCAAGTGGCAGGAATACTATATCTTATATATGATTATTATAAAAAGGACTAAGTCCCATTATTTAAATTATACAATAATATACTCTTCAAAAAACTTCGTCTGGGGATGGACATGCTTGAAGCTCTGACTCAGGTGAGGCAAAGGCAATATATGTAACCTAAACATTTGTATCCCCATAATATACTGAAATTTTAAAAAATTAAAAATTAAAAGTAAATCAAATAAAAAGATATTACTCAGACTTGTGGGGGGAGGGGGGAAAAGGGCATTTATTGAAACCTTAATATTTGTACCCCCATAATATGCTGAAAAAAAAGATATTAATGTCAAAAAAGATAAGTTCCTTGATGTTATAAAATTTATCTTCTAAAATTAAAGCACAGTAGAATAATAAAGGATGATTTTAACAAAGAAATATATTCCCAGAACACAGTGCAATGGAAAGAGCAGTATGCTACATGCCTTCCTGCCTCAATGAACTCAACAATTTCACACAGTTCACATCTGAAAAATAATAATAGAACCTTAATTTTGGCACTATGATTGTATAATATTAAACTTTGGTGAAATGTACAGAAGCAGCAGGAATATACAATAATGAACATACACCATGATGAGAGTTAATTTATGTTTTGCTGAGGTTTGAAGTTTATCCTCATCCCCTTTGCAATGGGTCATCTGTAAAAGTTAATAAATCAGTAGTTTGACTTTGGCTTCTAATAAATCCCTTGTTGAAGTCACCAGTGATCTCTTTCTCAATACATTCAGTGAGCATGTTGAATTTTCATCTCTTCCGACCCCTCTGACACTGTCAATCCCCCCCTCCTCCTTTAAACATTTCTTCTGGCTTTTATGACACTGCTCTGTCTTGGATTTTCTCCTACCTCTCTGGTCATTTCTTCTCAGTCTCCTTTTCAGGTTTATCCTCCTCAACCCAATCATTAAATGTTGGGGTTTTTCAAGGTATAGTCCTGGGATGCTTTCTCTTTTCACTTTATACTCTCTACTTAAACAGTCACATCCATGTTCAAGATGATTCACAAATGTTTATTCGCAAGACCAGACTCTCCCTCTACCCACCTTTGAGGTTCTAGACCTGTGTATCCAGCTGCCTACTTGTATACCTCACAAAGGCCCTTCACCTTGCCCCAAACCAGGATCTTCCCCTAAATTCTATCCTTGATGCAGGGCTTTGATCCCAATGAATGGCGTCTCCATCGATTTAGCTATATGAGCCAGGAATTCCAAAGTCATTGTTGGGACTTCCCTTCTCCCTCACTCCCCTTATCCAGTCCATCACTTGAATCTGTAGATTTCACCTCCAAATAGCCCTTCAGTCTGTCCACTTCTCTCCATTTCTACTGCCACCAGTTTATACCAAGCTACCATTTGTTCTCACCCAGACTACTGCTATAGGCACTTGTGACCCTCCAGTTCATTCTCCACATGCCGACCAGAGTGATCTTTTCAAAATACAAACTGATCATGACATTCAAGTCCTCCTTGACCCCAATTCAAAACACTTAATGGCTTCCCATCAGGCTTAACATAAAGGCCACATCCTTAATTTGACTTACAAGGCCCTGCATAACTTGACCCCTTGCTTTCTCTCCAGCTTCCTTTAGCATATGCTCCCTCCCTACACCTACAGAACCAACCATCCTTCCATCGCCCCATCACACCATACTCCCTCTCTCCCACCACAGTTGTTGCTTTGCCATAAATGCTTTCACCTCACCTCTACTCTCTACCCATCTGATCCATTTCTCCTAAGTAATTCCAACTCATTCTTCATGCCTCAGCTCAAATGATCCATTCTTTAGCAATTCTTGGCACACACACCCATTCTTAACCTCTACTAAAAGTTCTCATTGGACTTTCAGTTTCTCGATCTGCCTGTAAGGAAGTTGCCTCTCAGTCCTGATGGGTAAAAAGCTGAACAGACTGAAAAGTCAACAACTCTTCTTGGATCCACAGAGCAGGGAGGACACAGGGCAAACTGCTTTCCTTCAGATTAGAGAGGCAGAAAGGCAAAAACAGGGAATAACAGCATCCTGGAGCAGAGACTCACTAGCAGAAACGGCATCAAGAACCAGCACGGAGGAGGTAAGAAAACCTGAACTTAAGTGACAAATGGCTGGAGGCTCAGTGTGGACAACTCCAAGAATTAAAAACCTCAGGGGACCCAGCCATGGGGGGGGGAGTCTCCACAATATTGTAACATTTACTTCCAGGAGCTCAACCAGGTTCCCACAGGTAAATATGAGAGGGAAATCCCTTTGTGCCTCTGGCAGAGGGGAAAGAAAAAGGAAGCATTCTGAAACATGCCAGAGCATTCTGCTCTTCACAAGGTCTGCCCTCAGGAGAAGCTAACGGAAGAGAGCCTAACCTGCTGAGGTATTATCAGGGCCTCACTGACCTGGGGGAAGAAAAATAACCAACATCAGCCCACTCTAGACCTCCTGTCTCACCTAAGAGGGGAAAAAAACAAAAAACACTTGGAAAATCCACATTCCAGAGGCACAGACTCACTGAAATACTGAGACCTAATCATAGCCCTATAGAATGCATCTCCTTCCCCAAGAAGTGGCACAGTGTCATTTGAAAGTGATATTGGATTAGCTATAAATATATATTGCATAGTCTAAAGCAACTGCTAAAAAAGATAAAAAAAAAAAAAAGAGAGTATAACTGATAGGCT